CCTTGCGAAATAATTCGTTAACACTATAAATGACAATGTCTAAAGCAATGCTCTAGGGTACACAAGAAACTAACACAAGTCAGGGGGGGGGCTCACGCGGGGGGGGGGGGGGGGGGGGGGTATAGGAGACAGGTGGGAGTATGATTTCTCACTGTAATCCTTTTTGTTGGTTGTATTTTATTTTTTTCACTTACAAAGTATAATAAATCTACAGGAAAGTATGCAGCCTACACATACACAGCTTACAGAATAATTATAACTCAGGCGCTCCTATAGCCCAGATCAAGAAATAACATTAGGGACACCTGGGTGGCTCAGTAGGTTAAGCATTGGCCTTCGGCTCAGGTCATCCCAGGGTCCTGAAATCAAGCCCCACATTGAGCTATTTGCTCAGGGCAGAGCCTGCTTCTCCCCCGGGCCCTCCCCCTGCTGGTGCTCGCTTGCCCTCTCTGATAAAATCTTAAAAACCAAACAAACAAACATTAAGTACAGTCCAAAAGCAAACAGAACAGGAATGTCCAGCTCAAGGACCGGTTACCAAGTGACCCTCTCCCCCCGCACCCCCCCCCGGGAATAACCACTACCCTGACAGCCCCTCATCCCCATTTTGATTTCCAGAGTGATTGCTGCCTTGCCTTTACCCCTAAGGGTTTGCATCCATAACTACACCAGGATTTTTCCACTTTACATAAAAAGGACAATTTGTGTAAACTTTACACAGTGAAAAACATTCCCTCATGAAAAGGAATCCCTTGGGCCCTGTCTCCTTTGTTGCAAATGCTGTCCCTGAGGATTACAGGTTGAAATTACACCCAGCTGTAATTTCTACTCTTGCATTCCTGCGTAGTATTCTGCTGGTTGAAACATCAAAATCTAGGTCTCCATTGTGCTGTGAACGGACTTGGGTGCCCACTATTTCCAGCTTGGGATTGACGTAAATGATATATATGCTGAGGTTATAAATTCTGGACATTCTTCTCCAGGTTTGCTAGTTCACCCGGGGAACTGCAATTCGCGTGTGTGTGTGTGTGTGTGAGAGAGAGATAAAATATACATAACATAAAACATACCATTTTCATCATTTTCAATGTACTGTTCAGTGCTATTAAGCACATCATGCGTTTCCAGAACCTTTTCATCTTCTCAAACAGGAACTCTGTCTCGATTAAAACGCTAACTCCCATTCTTTGTCTTCTCTGTCCCTGCCAACCACCATTCATTCTACTTTCTGTGTCTATGAATTTGGCTACTCCAAAGTCCTCATATAAGTGGAATCACATGATGTATGTTCTTTTGTGACTGCGTTATTTCACTCAGCATAATGTCTTCCAGGTTCATGCATGTTGCAGCACGAGACAGAATTTCCTTCCTTTTTAAGGCTAAAATCCTGTTCTTAAAAAATACTGTTTAATTGCTGCATTTTGATCAAACATTTTAAATATTGTTAAATATAAAAAATTAAATTAAAAGGCAAAAAGTGATAACATGTTTACAATAAAATTTTAAAATAAAATTTCTACATATATATCTTAATCATACTTTTATATTTTAAGTAGAAATTTAAATATTTAAAATTGTCTAGGTACGGTTTTAAACAATTCTTTAAAATAAAAATCTTGAGATATTAAAAATCAAATTTAAAAGCATAAAATAAAGCATAAAAAATGAATACTTAATGTTATAAAAATATTCAAGTATTTAAAATGAAATTTAAATATTTAAACGAACATCTTAAAAAGATTCTAAATATTTAAAATATAAAGTAACTTAAAAATAAAATTTAATATAAAGTAATACGTAGATTAAACTTCAAACTGAAGTAATATTTAAATTTTTAAATAGTTAAAATTCAGACACTTAAATTTTGAAATAAAAAATCAAATGCTACCTTAAATGTATAAAATTAAAACTTAGTTAGATTTTAATAAATAACTGCTAAAATAAAAATTTAAATTATACGTAAAGATGTATAGGACATTTGTTACTCCCTCCTCTCCCCTGCCCCGAACTTAGGCCGCAGGGACGCCCCTCGCCCCGCCCAGGCTGCCTTCGGACCTCGCGCTCAGGCAGTGCTGTGGCCACCCCGGCCGGCCCGCGAGGACCCCGCACAGCTAAGATGGCGGCGCCCGTGTGGCGGACGCGGAGCCTGCTAGAGCTGCCGGCGATTCTGGGCCGGGGCTCGCGTAACTACCGGGCGCCGCCGCCCCCGCGCCGCTCGCCAGGGCCCTGGTGGCCGGACCCTGAGGACCCGCTGACCCCGCGCTGGCAGCTGGGGCCGCGCTACGCGGCCAAGCAGTTTGCGCGGCACGGCGCCGCCTCCGGGGTGGCCGCCGGTTCGCTGTGGCCGTCGCGGGAGCAGCTGCGCGAACTGGAGGCTGAGGAGCGCGAATGGTTCCCGAGCCTGGCGGCCATGCAGGAGTCGCTGCGCGTGCAGCAGCTGGCGGAGGAGCAGAAGCGCCAGGCCAGGTGTGTGCGGTCGGGCAGGCGGGGGTTGTGGGCTGAGGACCTCATGTGTGCAAGGCCTTGTCCCAGGTGCTGAGCACATAGCAGAGAACAAGATAATTTAAATGGCGACAGGGAACCATTAGGAAGATAAAACTGAAAAATGTGTGTGCCAGAGAACGACTTTGGTTTGAGACCTCGAACCTCTCCAAGGAGTTGATCCTTAAGAGACTTGAATGACCAGACATAGCAAAGGGGAGATCCTAGGGAGTGTTCCTGGTAAAAGGTGCGAAGACCCGGAGGTAGGAATATGCTTTAAGGAGCTGCCAGGAGGTCATTGTGGCTGAGGAAGGGTGGGGGAGGAGTCAAGGGCAGAGGTCAGACTTGGAGACTCGAAGAATGTAAGACCAGGAACATCAGGATGGCGTGGCTTCTTGGAGGGCAGGCAAATCGGTGGAGAAGGCCAAGCCTGTTCCCGCTTTTTATCGTTCTTGTCCTCACAATAACTCTAAGAGGAAGAGGGGATCACCCTCATTGTATAGATGAAAAACCAAAGCCTGGGAGTTTGTGGAGTCACCTGTCCAGTCACCCAGGCAGTAGAAGGTGAAGCTAGAATGTGAACCCCAGTCTCCACCCCATCCCAGCTAGATGATTCTGCCATGGGGGCTTTAGATCTTTCAGCTTCACCTTTCTAATCCTTAAAAATGGGAGTGTGACTGGGACCTACAAAGTCGTAGGATTGGAGAGAAAGGTCCAATCCATTTTTTGCCTTTACAATGGGGCCTGACATACAGTAGGCGCTCAGTGATGTCTGCAGGATCAGAGAGTGTGCTGTGGGAATTGCGATACGGTGTTCAGCTCTCTGGCTCAGGTAGCTCAGTAAAATGCTGAGTTGACTTGGGGTCTCCTCGGGGGGTGGGGGGGTTGGCTCTCCAGTGCTCAGGGTCACACACAAGTTAATTCATCCCTCCTGCCTGTTACTTCACTTGTCTGGGACTTTTCCTGTTTTAATGACCACAAGTCTTCCCAGTTTTTCATCCAGGGGCGGGGGGCACTATGGGTGGATGGATGCTCCTTTTCTAGCTGGATGTCTTCATCACTCTACCCTCCCCTGCAGGGAGCAGCTCATTGCAGAGAGAATGGCCAAGATGCCACAGATGATTGAGAACTGGCGGCGGCAGCAGCAGGAGCGCAGGGAAAAGGAGCAGGCCGACAAGGAGCGGCGGGCCCGACTGCAGGCTGAGGCCCAGGAACGCCTGGGCTACCATGTGGACCCGAGGAGTGCCCGCTTCCAGGAGCTGCTGCAGGACCTGGAGAAGCAGCAGCGCAAACGCCTCAAGGAGGAGAAACAAAGACAGAAGAAGGAGGCACGAGCTGCTGCACTGGCTGCTGCTGCGGCCCAAGACTCCGAAGCTTCGGTGGCACCCAGTTCCTGAGCTAGCCTCTCCCAATAAAACCTGCTGCCCGACAGCCCCAGCCCTGGAGAGCTAAGTCTTCTTTCTTCATGCCCCTTCCTGGCCCCCCCAAACACCTGGGGCCAGGGACTCCCCCACCCTTCCTGGCTCTGCTCACTCAGGGACTCTAGGCCATGCTGACTAACTGGGGCTTCAGGGGGAGAAAGGGGGATGCAATGGGGAAATAATGGAGGAGCAGATGGCAGAGAAGAAGGAGGCTTCTGTTTACCAACATTAATCTCCAGTAATTAGCCAATTACTAGGGGGGGAAGTGTAGCCAAAACAGACTGTGGTGGTGATGGTGGGGGGTAGGGAGAAACAGTCCTTCCAAGACTAAGTTGGGGCTGGGGCCCACTGCCTGGGAATGAGATAGCCTCAAGGGGGGTGGGAGACACTGGGAGCCCCAATCTGCAGAGGCTGACAGACCACTCTGCACCTTCTCAACATAGCCATTATCACCTGTGCCCAACTAGCCCCCAGACTCAAACAAGCTGGAGTAGGAAGCTCCAGTAGGCACACACCACAGGACTGGCTTTTAAAACTTTATTCACTTCAAAACCTTTATCAGAGACATGGTTCTGTCCTGGGGTCAAGGGGGTGGCCTTAACCTCCAGAACAGCTCTGATGTTACTGCCTCCCCAGGTAGGACAAACCAGGCCTCAACCTCTCCAGCAAAGGGATACAGGCCAGAGACCAAGGCCAGACTGGGGAGGGGGTCCTTGGGCCTTTTGAGTTTACCCCAGATGGAAAGGTTGGGGCACTCCAATGGAGGATAAAAGTTTGGGGCTCCAGCTTCCCCTCACCCTGGAAGAAGGTGGGGGAGGTCTCAGGGGCTCTTCAGGGGAGGGGGAGGCAAGCAGCCGCCTCTCCATCTGGCTGCAGGGAGCTGGGACAGAGGCCAAGAGGGGCCCATCTGTCGCCTCCAGTCCTGCCAGTTTCTTAGAGCAGGCAGGGCTGGGGCGGGGGATGGGAGACAGCTGTCTGGCCTGGGTCTTCTCAGGCCAAGATGGGAATGGGGGGCCACTTGAGGAAATGGGAAATAGGGTTTGGTTTTTTTTTTTTTTAGTTTTTGATTTTTTTCCACTTCTTAAATAAACATGAATATATATATATTTTTTTCTTTTATAAAACTTTTGTGGAGTTGGGGGATGGGGAGGTTGGGGGGGCGGCCTGGCCTCCCTGCATCACTCGTCATCAAAGTTCTGACTCAGGAGGAAGTTGGCAGCCAGGTTCTCGTTTTTTTCGCAAGCGAAGTAGGCCTGGATCACCAGGCTCTCCGGGAAGCCCAGGGCTTTCAACTGCAGGAAGACAGGTGGGTATGAGCAGGGACTGGGGGCCCTGCCCACCAGGGAGGTCACCCCCCAAGCCAGGCCTCTTACCCTCTCTATAGCTTCTTTCTCCTGTGGTGTCACCTGGATGTAGTTCATCTGCGGGGCCTCCTCACCTATGGCGCCCCCCTCACCCTCCACATCAGAGATGTCTGCCAGCTCCCCGGGGGGCTCATTCAGCATCTGGATGAACTGCTCCTGGTGCCGGCTAATTTGCTGTGGGAGACAGAGGGGAAGGGACTGTGAGCCCCAGCACCTGATGCCCACCCACCAGGTCCCGATCACCGCCCTGCTTTTTCATTCCCTCAGCACACGTTCAGAGGCGGCCTATGCTGGCCAAAGAGCAACGAGACAGTGGATACAGGCCTGTCCCGGTGGAGCCGATGCTCCGGGGGAGGGAGAGAGGCTGTAAGCAAATAAACGGGTCATTATTTACAATGGAAATAGGGGGCCTGGCATACAGTAGGGCCAACACTGGACTCTACAGAAAAAGTCCTGCAGGCCAGGGAAGAAAGGCCGGTGATCTGCAAGATGGGAGATAGAACAGTAAGTGCAAAGGCCTGGAAATAGAAATGCACTTAACAAATCCCAGAAACAAGATTATGTGGCAGGAACAAAGGAAACAAACAGCAGAAACGGGACAAAACAAAGACATGAAGGCAAAGACCCGACCTGCTTTCTTCTAGTGTCTTCTAGTATGAAAGGACACCCCAGTGAAGAGAGAAAGATGTGATCTGTGTACATGTCAAAAAGACCTAACTCACCTGGGTGTTGCATACCTGCAGGTTCTACAACTCTCTACAGTTCTGTTTTGATGTATGTCTGACTTTAACTTCACCTCAAAAAGTTTTTTTCAGGAGTCTGGCTCCCGGTGGAGAATGCACTGTGCAGGCGGTGCCCCTAGGGGGGCAGCCGGGGAACTGGGTGGGGAGGTGAGATGGCTGCTGCAGGGGCTGAGTGCAGGGCCGGACAGAGTGAGAAGTTCTGAGAAGACAGGGTGATGGCTGACCCCAGCAGGCACAGGGCTGAGGCTCAAGCCTTGTGGGGATGGGGAGGGCTGGGAGGAGGATCTGCTCTGAAGTCTTAAACGTCTACAAGGCCCTTTCATGTTTGTGTCAAGTCAGCCATGGGTTAAGCGTGGCATTTGGAGGTCCCGGTTGGTTACATTGATCTGGGGGGCACATCATTGCTCAAGATGATAATATAGGGAACACTAAACAGAAATGAGGAATAAAGGCGTGCAGCCCGTGCCCTGTAACACCTGGAGAAGGTAAGCAGGAGGAGACAGCAAAAGGGACTGAGTGAAGGAGCAGCAGCAGATGACAGGCCCTAAACCAGGCCTTTACAGACAATCCAGAAAACCCTGTCACATCCAGGGTCCACTGCCCCTCTGCTTAGGAACCTTCAAGGGCAGGATGGAACCTTGCTGAGCACCGTGGTCCCAGAGCTAACTGGGACACACCAGTCCTCGATGGTGCCATACAACCTTGTATGCACTTAGGATGCACTAACTGTACGCGAGGCCAAGCTAGAGCTGAAAGACCCAGAAGGTAGAGCAAAGGACCCAGAGGCAGACACACACCACACTAGCTGCCACACTGCTCCAGACCTCTGGAATCTTCCTCTGTGAGATGATAACAGCAGCACCCACACCTCGTTAAGGTGTTTGAGAAAATTACGTGAGGGGCGCCTGGGTGGCTCAGTGGGTTAAAGCCTCTGCCTTCGGCTCGGGTCATGATCCCCGGGTCCTGGGATCGAGCCCCGCATCGGGCTCTCTCCTCAGCGGGAAGTCTGCTTCCCCCTCTCTCTGCCTGCCTCTCTGTCTACTTGTGATCTCTCTCTGTCAAATGAATAAATAAAATCTTAAAAAACAAAACAAAACAAACCCTGTCTCTCTGCCTGTGATCTCTGTCAAATAAATAAAATATTTTAATAAAAAAAAAGAGAAAATTACATGAAACCAGGAAGATCATTAGATCAAGAGCAGCAGGGGGCTGTCACTAGTCCTGCTTTCCAAACACAGAGGGGGCTCCTATATACCACACTAGGCGAGGCTAGCTTTCTGGGGCCGTGGTACCCACAGGGGAGTGGAGGTGGTGCCTACCCTGGCTCTCTCCACCCCCAGGGCCGCACCTGCAAAAGCTGAGGATTCTCTTGGCCCAGCTGCTGGAGCAGGGCAGGCAGCAGAGCTGGGTTCTGCTGAATCACCTGCCGCATGTTCTGGAACTGGGGCTGGTCCCGCAGGAACTCCAGGGGGTTCTCTCCTGCTAGCAGAAGAAAGATGTATAGTCAGACAGCATGCTGGATGCCCAGAAGCTTGGGAGCCAGGGTGGGGAGGGCGGAGTCTGACACCTTGACAGCAGACACCCAACATACACATCTCCCAGTCCGCTTACCTCCTTCTGTGGCTGGCTGCTCCGACACCTGGCTCTCCTGGACAGAACCATGTTCTGGCTCGGGGCTCCCAGGAATTCCCTGTCAGGGGTCCTATTTAGTTCTAATGCACATCAGAACTGCCTCCCTTCTGCATACTCAGCCCTGGCAGAAGACAGGTGAGGCCTCGGCCCTGCCCTCCATAGACCCACCCCATCACTCATGTCCAGGCTCCTGCAGGAAGACTTTCCTGGCTGGAACCACAACCCAAAGCCTTCAGAGGGCAGGTTTTGCCTCTCTGACCACCCGTCAGGGCACGTAGGCCCATGTACTCCCTTGAGGCCTCCCCAGGAGGGAGCAGCCCCACCTCACCGTGAGTAGATACTCCACGGCTCGGTGGGGGTTGTTGTAGCTGGCTCTCAGGGCGGCCACGACCCGCTCCCGCTCATAGCCCATGGACATGATCTCTGTCAGCATCGTCTCATACTCAGAACCAGTCACTGTGGAGGGAGCAGCAAGGCCTGGGTCACCAAAGAGGGAGAAAGGTAGCTCCCAGACCCTCCCACACCCACACAAGGCCCAGCTGCTGGCTGGGGCACCCAACTGCTTCCGCCTGGGGACCACCCACCCACCTAGCGTGGATGCCGCGTCTTCCTCTCGCCCACTGCTACCTGAAGAGGGAACAGAGCTGCAAATTCAAGAGAGAGAAATCGGACCCTGGCTTCTGGCGGCTTGCCCTCCCCCAGGTTAAGTAGGAACATGTATGTACTGGAATGTGCTGGGAGGACAGGGCCCAAGGTGGGGCTTCTGCTCCCTGGCCTTACCCTGACACGGACTCCGGGGATGTCGTGGGGACTGATTCCTCCGATGGGCTCTTGTCCTCTCTGGCAGTAGGTGGGGGATGGGACATGCCTGAGGCAGGGGCCGGAGGGAAGGATGTGGAGGACTCCGGGGCAGCAGTGGGTGAGGCCTCTGGGGGTACTGAGGTGCCTGGGCTAGTTTTGGCCTGTGACACCCAGAAAAAGGAGCAGGCATCAATTTCCCTATCTAGCCCCAACATCCCATCCCGTCTCAGCCCCACCCTATTCATAGCTAATCTCTCCCGGCATGCTGGCTCTTTGTCAACTCCCCAGCTAATTCACCCACCCTCCCAACCAGCACACTTCACCTACCTTGGTCACCATAACAACCACAAAGTTCTTCTCATCAATGCGATAGTCCCTGATGGGAACGTCATCACTCAGGATCTTGCCAGCATAAATGAGTTTCTGTCCAGCCACAGGAAAGGCATCACGACCCTTCTCAGCTTCTATCTTTTCCTTTAGCACCTTCACCTGGAAGGAGAGGAACACTCATTGCAAACCTCAAGATTCTTTCTTGAGTGGGGCAGGGGGAGGAGGGGAAGAGACCACAAGCCTCAATGGCAGAGAAACTAAGCTCCGTAGTCAACCATGGCAGATTCCAATTTGTTTGCCTATCCCACCATTTGAAGGAGTGTTCACCGAACGCTACACACCAGGTGCTACTCTAAGTATTGAGTACGTAATAGAACACGGAACAAAACTCAGCACAAGTCCCCACTTCCCCAAAAGTAACACTAATGTGAGAAAAAGAGAAAACAAGTATGACTTCACATAACGTAAAGTATGATGAAAAATTAAAAAAAAAAAGAGGGGCGTCTGAGTGGCTCAGTGGGTTAAGCCTCTGCCTTCGGCTTGGGTCATGGTCTCAGGGTCCTGGGATGGAGCCTGCATCCATGGCTCTCTGCTCAGCGGGGAGCTAGCTACCCCCCCCTCCCCTGACTCTCTGCCCACTTGTGATCTGTCAAATAAATAAAATCTTTAAAAAAAAAAAAGAAAAGAGAATAAAAGAGAGGTAAGATTCTTCATTCCACACTGCTGACAGTGCTCAATGCCAAAAGCATCTTATGGGGACAATACTAAGTGTATAATATCACTTTTAAAGCCTCACCACTGCATGAAGTAGCTATTAATCCCATTTTATGTTTGAGAAACAGAGGTACAGAAAGATTAAGTACCTTGCCCAAAGTCAAATAGTTGGACTAATTGAAAAACAGGAGTGCTTTTCTACAACACATAGAGTTCAGGGTCTCCTTCATGAGGTAGTTGTTCCAAAAGTGCCAAACACATAGTTAGACGTTCAGTACGTCTGTTAGCTCCTAAGTCTCTTTTCAGCTAAAAATGCAACGCAATGTTTACACTATGGGCTCTCACATGAAGCAAAACCAAATATGAATCTCCGTTCTGCCATCACTTACTTTATGTGACTGTAGCAAAGTTCTCTAATTCTTAAACTCCCACATCTATAAAATGGAGTGAAATTGTCAAAATGGCTCAAATAAGTTTGTTTTGCATCTTTAGTAAAATAACACTAAATCGCTCAGCAGGTGGTAAAGAACAAATCGTCAACAAACACAGACCACTGACATTCAGGCCGTTTATTATCATTATTATCGTCACTGCCGTCACCACTCGGGATCTCCTGATCACTACTCCCAAATTCAGCCACCAACGTCCCGAGGAGATGCTGCAAAGCTGGGAACTCGGAGCCCCGTCCCAGAGAGCGTGGCCCAGCCGGGAATCTGAGCCTGTGGCTCCCGCGACCCGCGAGGGCGCTGACATTGAAGCTGCGGCCTGATGGGTGCCCCGGAGGTGGGGCCTCGTCCGGAGACCGGCCCATAAGTACCATCAGCACGAGTGGCCGGGGGCTGGGCCGAGAACCAAACAGAGGTTCGGGAAAGTCAGGCAAGCTGGGAGTGGTGGGCAGAACCCCGCCCGCGCCGTCCTCCCCTCCCCTCCTGTCGGGAACCCTTCCTCCCCGCCCCCACTCCCCCACCCCCACCCCCGGCACCCGTCGTTCCCACTCCCGGGCTCCGGTCCAGCGCCCACCGTCTCGTCAGGCTCCATGCGGATTTTGAAGGTCTGCTGCTGCAGCGTTTTGAGCGTAATGGTGACGGCCATGGCAGGGCCGGAGCGACGCGGCGGCCCCGGGATCCTCACACAACATGCAACTCACGCCGCCGCCATCTTAGCGCCCAGCCGCACCGCGAGGCGACCGCTTCCGGGGCAGGCGGTGCGCGCGCCGACTACCAGAACACGTGACCTGCGCGCGGAGGGGGGGGGCCCTTAGCCTTGGTGGGCATGCGCAAAAAAGAGGCCTTTGGCCAGGCATGCGCAGACTAAACTCGGCTCCCGGAGGTAGCTTCTCATTCAGCACGCATACGCATCACGTGGCGTCCTGAGTGACGTCATGCCCGTTAGCGGTGACGTCATACAGCCACAAAATGGCTCCGACACGCTCCCTTTTCATGCCCTTATGAGTTTGATTACATTGAACAAATTTTTTCGTGTACTTGTAAATAATTTTATTTCTTCTTCATTTTTTTTTGTTTCCCAAATGAGTTTTGTTCTGGTTTGGCCGCCCTCACAGGAACCCTCACTCAGGACTGGAAAGATACTCAAAAGATCACCAACAACTAAAAAAATGAAAATTCTAAAAACATTTGTCCGTGGAAGCAGGGACAGGGGGCCAGTTTGGGGTCTCATTGATTCCTGAGGGAGAACTGTATTTTTGGAATGAACCTGTAGTACTAGCTCCTGGGTGTCCCACCTCTCTGCTGCTCCTCCCCCAACCACTTTGTTCACCCCATTATCCCCAGTCTGACCCCGCAAGTATTTAAGGAAACTGTCACCTTTCCAGGATTCCTTACTCTGAAGACAGAATTCTCTCCGGAGACTTTCCCTGGGTGCACCAATTCTGGAGGATACCCAGAGGGGTGGAGCTAGGCCATTGGACCCAGGTGGGAAGCATGGAGGCCCATCCATGAACAAGGAATTGAAGAATTGGCCAAAGGCTGAGATCATCTCCCAGTTACTGGGTGGAGGTGCTCCCACCCGAAACTGACCATTACCTGCCTCCAAACCTGCTTTTTAGTTTCCGTTCAAGCACTCAAGTCCAGAACAAAGCAGTTACCAGATACCTCACCCATGGCCCAACTGTAACCGTGTCCTGTTGCTTTTTCCCTTCATGGTGTAGAGCCTAGACATTTCCACCACAGTGGGCCAGGCTGTTGAGGGCTTCTTGCCTCTCTCCTGCAACAAGGGACATAAGCCCCAGACTACCTACTGAACTTCACAAGCAGCCTCCTGGACCCAAAGTGATGGGCTAAGCCCCAGGGGTCCTAGACCTTGTTGGTCTGTCATCTCTGTACCCTCCTTGGGGCCATCTCTTTTCCTCTGAGAATTCAAAGACCACTGATGGTGCTATTATTTACCATATCTGTACCTGTATTATAGCTGAGTAGTATTAAGAAAATGTTTAAAATGGTCCAATTGTTCTATGTAGTCTTGCTTGTTAAGAGATATACATGGTTCACTGGGAAATGGACAGCATGAAATGGTGCCACAGTGTGGGTTCATAGCCCTCCCCTACTCAAATTCTGGAGCTCAACCTCCTCATCCAACTGAATTGGTACTAGAAACAAAAACCACCAGTCTGGTGCAAAGACTCAATGAGTTAGTATGTAGAATATTTGTAATGGCACTTCTGTCACTATTTTCTGTTTTGAGGTTGTGAGGGGAAACAACAGCCCCTTGAACCTTATGGGGACATTCAACCAACACTTGAGAGGCTGGAAAATGAGCCTTGCTCAAGAGTCACCTCCCCCAGAAGGAGACACAGGAGGAAGACACAAAACTTAATTTAATAGAAATTTTGTTTGTAGTTCTTACATTCTCAGTGTGAGCCAAGCTGGAACCCACTGCCCCACCCAGAAGTGGCCCAGTCCTGGGAGCAGGGGAAAAAGGGAGGTGGTGGGTGGGGGTCAGAGCTCAGGCCCTAGGAGCCCTGTTCCTCCTCAGTGCTGGGGGCTGGGGATGCCACCCTCTTCTCCTGCCCCCCTCTGGGATCAGGAAGGAAAGCAGATGGAATCTTGGGCCTGGGGCTTCTCTTCCACACTCCCCTGCCCCTTTCAGGTTGGAGGGGAACTAAGGGAACTGAGGAGAGAAGGGGACAGAGGAAGGCAAAGATGTCAATCAAGAAAGAGGAGGATCAGGAGTAAGGACTAAAGGAGAATAAAAGACAAAACACCAGTTTAAAAAAAAAAAAAAAGAGGGGAGGAAACAAAACCAAAATCCACCCCAAATCAGAACCCGCCTGGAAAAAAAATGAAAGTTCTCCAGTCTCATAGAGACATTATTTGGCGCAGCCGGCTCTGCGGCGGGAGCGCTCAGGCCTCAGTCCAGCCCTAGAGGTAGTGGCATGGCCCCTACAGCTCATCCTTGGCCTGGCCAGCGGCAGCATCTTCCTCTTCCTCTTCCTCCTTGTCATCTTCATCTTCCTCATCCTCATCCTTGTCTTCCTCATCTTCCTTGTCTGCCTCCTCCTCTTCCTTGCGTTTCTTGTCCTCCTCCTCCTCCTTTAGCCTCTGCTCCTCGTCCTGCTTGTCCTTCATCTGCTTTTCTGCCGCCTGTACACAGACCACATACCTCAGGGCCTCACCCTCACCCACCAGGCCTGCCAATCCCCCCAAGTCCAGGACCAGACCCTGGGCACACCTTCGTGACACCCCAGGTCTCGTTTCCGAACTCCTCTGCATATGCTTCATCATTGGTGATGAGAAAATTGTCGAAGATGGTGCCAGACTTGACCTGGGGGACAGGAAGATGGATGGAGAGGTGGTCAGAGGGGACATCGGATGTCCCTGGCCTTGGACAAGTCCCCCCCAGCCCCCCCGCCATATTCCCATGACAACTACACAACGCCCTTTGATTTTTTTCATCCATAAAACGGCATCTCTCAGTCTCTTCAAATATTTTTCTAGTACCTACTACATGCCAGGCACCATTCTAGGCATAAAATGTTTATTACTTAAGAAAACTGACAAAAATTTGGTCCCTCCAAAATGGAATTTTTCGAAAAATTTTTTCTCGTAGTCACGTTCTTTTTTTCTCCCAGTAGGCTCTATTCCCGATGCTGGGCTTGAACTCATGCCTGAGATAAAAAATTGCACGATCTACCAAGTCAGACAAGTACCCCTGAAACTAATTTCCTAACAAGATTTGCATAAAGGAACTTAGAAAGGTATCTGGCACATAATAAGCAGAGCCTCAAAGTGGCTGCTGTGAAAACTCCGGAACAACAGACCAGGAAATTCTTCAGGAAAAGCACCACTTTGGGCTCAGATCTGCCCGAGGTTGAATGCTACCATCCCTTTCCTCCTGCATGACCCTGAACATTTAAGTACTCTAGGAATCCCCTATATGTCTCACCTGCCAGAGATCTAAGCCCAGAACAGCAAAGTTTTCATAGGCATAGATGTTGCTATCAGGGGAGTACTCAGGGTTGTCAATCTCTGGGTGGATCCAAGTGCCCTTGTAATCTGGGTTGTCAATCTGTCGGGGCTTCCACTCGCCCTGCGGAAGGGGAAAAGGGAACCAGTGGTTGAGTGGTGGTCAGTGTGCTACCCACTGGGCACCCCTACCCTGCTCAGAGCCCCAGATCACCTTGTACTCAGGGTTCTGAATCACAGGTGGTTCCCACTCTCCATCCATTTCTTCATCCCAGTCCTCTGGCTTTTTAGCATCAGGGTCAGGGATGTGCTCGGGCTTGTCCCAGTCCTGAGGGTACATAAAAAAGTCAGTCAACCCAGCTGTCCTCTGCACCCTCCACATGGGGAGCCTCTGCCCAAGCACCAACCTCAGGCTTGGAGTCTGTGGGATCATCAATCTTGGCCCGTTCATCCCAGTCTTCAGGCTTTGAAGCATCGGGATCCTTTATCTTCTTGGGAGGGAGGAAGTCCCAATCATCCTCCAAAGAGCCTGATTCCACCTGGCTGTTGTCAATCTTCACCTCATAGGTATTATCCGGCCGCACAATCAGGGTATACAGGTGTGTGAATTCATCATCCTGAAGAGGGTGGGAGATGAGTGGCCCCGCCCACCATGCTGGCCTGAGACTCCCCTATCGCCATTTGTCACCACCCCCAGTCACACCTTGCAACGGATGTCCTTGTTGATCAGGACGTTCTTGCCCTTGTAGTTGAAGATGACGTGAACTTTCTTGGTGCCGGGGCCACAGATATCGGGGCCTAGGTGAAAAGCGAGTGCAGTCAGAGCAAGAAGCTGCCTGTCATTGCAAAGCTCCCCTTTACAAAGGAAGACTTGCTTCTTAAGTTCGGTCTGTGAAGGGTCACGGGACAGGAATCAGACCCTGATTGGTACTAAGGAGTAAAGGTGTAGCCTTTTAAAAAGGAAAGGAAGGGGCGCCTGGGTGGCTCAGTGGGTTAAAGCCTCTGCCTTCGGCTCAGGTCATGATCCCAGGGTCCTGGGATCGAGCCCCATATCGGGCTCTCTGCTCGGCAGGGAGCCTGCTTCCTCCTCTCTCTCTCTCTCTCTCTGCCTGCCTTTCTGCCTATTTGTGATCTCTATCTGTCAAATAAATAAATAAAATCTTTTAAAAAAAAATGGAAAGGAAAAGAAAAAAAAACCAAACCAACAAAAAAATAAAAAACTGGCTCTAGAATTTAATGCTCTTACTTGTAACATCAGGAAAGAGCTACAGAAAATCCCATAAACTACCAGTTTCAGACCAACAACAACAATGCAACATTCTCAGCCTCCCTTCCAAATACAAGCCTTAACTATGTAAGTACTTCTTGTGTTCTCAAAACTACCTGTCAGGGGCTTTAAAGAACCCCTGAAATTTTAGTCTCCCTCTAACGAATCAAAGGTCAGGACCAGGGTGGGGCCCCTCACCGAACATGATGTTGTATTCAGAGTCTCCGTGCATGTCCGTCTGGTCCAGACCATCTGGAAAAAGCTTCACATAACCGCCCCCACAGTCGATGTTCTGCTCGTGTTTCACGGTGAACTGCACCACCAGTGTCTGGCCCTTGTTGCTGAAGGGCTCAAATCTGGCCGACAAAGCGTAAAAGCGGGCATCCTGGCTCGTCTGCAGCCCTAGCAGGAGACCACAGTGAGGTCATGGCTCAGCCCCAACCTTCCGGGACCCTAAGCATTGGAGACACATGAGGGCTGCCCCTTCCTCCCCCTGCCCTGCTCATGGGGGATAACCAGGCTGTGTAAGTGCAGGGCTTCCTCCAGGAAGTCCTCCTGAATCCGAACCACCACCAGCCCCAGTATCTTACCTTTATCCTTCTCCTGGTCACCGTAGAACTTGCCGGAACTGAGAACAAATTTACCAAAATCTGACTTGTGTTTGGATTCGATCCAGCGGTCGGTCCACCCGTCTAGGGGATCAAAGGGGCAGGTCAGTGCGGCCCTACTGATCTCTTCCCACTGAATATCTCCCAGTGGCTCCAAAGACTGGGAAACAGACACCCCTTGACTGACCCCACCCCAACCTCTAGTTTGACACCTTCAATGGCTTAAAGGCTTCTCCAGCAAATTCTAACTCCCGCCGCGGGAGTCTGCTGCACCCTCGACGCTCCCCAGGGACATGGAAGGGAGGCTCGCCGGCGGTTCTCGTCCCCGGAGCCCACCGTATTGGTCCTCTAAGCGGTAATTACCCGGGAACAACGCAAATCTAGGCTGATGGGCCGCCCTCGTCGCCGGGACGGCCTCGAGACGGGACCAGGCCTTACCTCCGTCCAGAAACTGCTCCTTAAAGTAGATGGCGGGTTCGGCAGCGGCCAGGCCGAGGAGGCCGAGCAGCAGCGGTACGGGTAGCAGCATGGCGGGCCGAGGGGGCGGCGGCGCGCGGGCCCTTTAAATCTCTCCTCCGGCGGCGGCTCTGCAGTAGGGACAGACGCTGCTGCCGGCCGCGAGCTTTTATACCCTACCGCCCCTCAAACCAACCTGGCCCGGCCTCTTGTCCCTCCCTCCGCGCCTTATCATTGGTCTGTGGCTACGGCCCTGACTTTCCATTGGACTCTTGTCGTCTGAGCATGTTAGGCTGTGCCTCGGAACGCAGGGTTCCCAGATGGCCGATTTCTATTGGCCACACAACTGGCCAATGAAGGTTGACCACGCGTTGTGGGGGCCGCCCACCGGTGTGGTGGGGGCCTCGAGCCCCTTCTGCCCAAGTCACGTGACCAGACCTCAACCCAACCCCGCCCTAGCCCGCCCGCTTAGCTCCGGGTCTGGGCGTTTAAAGAACGCGCGCGAGTGCCCGTGTCACCGCGCGGGACCTGGGTCCTGCCCGAGCTCGCTCTTTCATCCCTCTGCGGGGATGTGTGGGCACGGTTTTCCTAACCACTTTCTACTCCGCAGCTGGGGAGCCCCCACTCCGACGCGCTCGCTCCAGCTCTCCCCTGCCCCAGGCTAAGATGGGGCAAAGGGCACCAGAGCTTAGGGGCTGAGGACCTGGGTCCTAACTTCACCCCAGTGCCACAGTCTGCAGGCTAGCAAGTAAAGTGCCAGCTCTCTCCTCTCTGGTCCCTGGTCGTCCCTAGTGCCCTGACAGCCTGTCAGACTGCTGCTCTGTGACTGGGACAAGTCACTTAGCCTCTGAAGTCACAGGAGCCCCTAAGAGGATAGGAGGAGCAACCTCGGCTAGGTGCCGCCCTACAGAATCGCTTTCAAAGCTGTTAGGGTTGTCTTGGGACAGAGAAGGAAGGTTAGAAGATGGAACTATTGGCTGTGGCTCCTAGAGTTTGATAGGGTTGTTCCTCTAATCGCAGCCTCTCCTTTAAACCCTCCCTCAGCCGGTAAAGGGGTCGCTGCCTGTGGTCTCCCACAAACGGCCTGGCTTTTGCAACTAAACGGCTAAAGAGGAGGGGGGGGGGTTCCGTTGGAGAAGAAAAAAAAAAAAAAAAGACAGATGGTGGGGAAGATAAAGTCCAAAGGAGATGGGCAGGACCCCTGAGTCTAGAGTGTTCTAAAGCCAGAGGCATGTGACTGACAGTGACTGACACTGTCTCCCTGCCCCCAAGCTGCAGGAAGCAGGAAGGAGGACTGGGGGTTTCCCAAACTCTGAGCAACAGCCCTGGACCTTGGAACCGAGAAGTGGACTGCGGAAGGGGGGAATTCTGACAAAAGACTGGGGAAGGGGTCCTTCCCTGATAGTGGTGGGGACTCAGAAAGAGGAGGAATTGGGAGTCTTGGAGAAGTTGGGTTTCTGCAGGCATGTCCAGTATCACCCAACCTGCACCCCCTCATGAGGAGCCCCAATTTGGGGTGATCGCTCCTGGCCTGCCAGTGACCCTCTCACCTTCCCTCCCTTCCACCATATGTCATGCACACATGAGTTTGGTGCTTCCTGCTTGAGGGTAGACCCTGTGACTGTCTTATTCACTTCACCATCCCTCAGTGTCTCTTGCAACACCTGGCACAAAAGAGACTTAAAACCTACTTGCTGTGTGACAGAAAGAAGGAAAGACTCTTGGAAGAATTAAATATACAAAAACAAGAGAAGTGCTTTGAAGCTAAGGAGGGACTTGGAGATCCACATACTGAATTTTTATCAGGACCTCACTGTGGGGTCAGGATCAGGTGATCAGGCTGACATAGTGATTGTGATGGTAAAACCATCACAGTAAAGTAAAGGTGTTCTTCTTATGATAGTGCTTGTCACATGGTCCACACTCAATTTAGTTTTAGCAGTATGAGTACATGTGTGAGCAGTATTTCACTTAAATCTGTAATATAAGCCCATAACCTCATCTCTATCCAGGAAAGGAAATGGGCACAGAAAGACTAAGCAACTTGGCTGAGTGGTATAAATGGAATTAGAATCTACTCGCACTAATCTCCACTGGCCACCTGTAACTATCAACCATTTGAAATGTAGGTGGTTCCCAACTGAGATGTGCCTTAGGTATAAAACACACATCGGATTTTGGAGACTTACTATGAAAAAAGAACGTAAAATATTCCATTAGTAATTTTATGGTATTGAAATGATAATTTGGACATATTAGGTTTGGTAGATTTTTCAGATTAATTTCATCCATTTTGTTTTTAACACTGCCACCAGAAAATTTAAAATTAGATTTGTATCTTGCATTATATTTCTAGAGGCCAGTACTACTGATTAGGGTATCCATTATTGCCCTGACATTGATCTTCTCAGAGCATACAGTGATTGGAGTGGGATCTGAAGTGTTTATAGTTTCTGACACCATCTCTACCAACTGCTTGTAGAATCATGGGGAAGTCGTATCACCCTCTGAGCCACCATTTTCACAACTGTGAAAGGGGGATTATATTAATATCTATGTAAAAGTTTTGGGGAAAATGAAATAACACCTGGGTGGCTCAGTGGGTTAAAGCCTCTGCCTTCGGTTCAGGTCATGGTCTCAGGGTCCTGGGATCGAGCCCCTCATCAGGCTCTCTGCTCATCAGGGAGCCTGCTTCCCCCCTTTCTCTCTCTGTCTGCCTCTCTGCCTACTTGTGATCTCTGTCAGATAAATAAATAAAATCTTAAAAAAAAAAAAAGCACTTAGTACTGCACAGAGAACATGAGATATCTATACAGGTTAGCTGCTATCTTGACTATAACTATTATTATAGTTAGTATATATATAGTATAGTCTCTCCTTTAGAAATAGGGATGGTCTCTGTCTACCTACCCTCCTTTTAAAAACTTAAAAGTCAGTGATATCAGCGGAATGACTGTCTCTAGAGCCCACCACCTACAATCTTCCTGCAGGCCAAGAGAGAATCCTACAAGGGCAGAGGGCTCCTAAAGTCAGAGAGAGGGAAGTCCAAGGTCACGCAGCGTGCTGGAAGTGTGGATGGATGAAACTTAAAACAACGCTGCGATTCTGTCTTTGAAGTCTTCAATTTGGCCTCCCTGATCAACCAGACACTACCAGTCTAGCTAGGGTGGAGGCAGGCGGGCACTAAGTCTCTCCCACCCTCCAAGCTTCAGTTGCCGCACTGAAGATGGCGGCGTCCTGAGCCTGGCCACAGGTCTGCCACACTCAAGATGGCGATTCACTCCCGGCGCCGGTTCCGGTTCCGGTTCTTCAGCCCACTCCCCCACCCCCCCTCCGGGACACGCCGAGCACACTGGCAGCAGCCATGGCGGACGGCCCAGTGGCTGAGGTGCTGCTCCGGCAGCTAGAGGCGGCCGATGGCGGCCTGGACAGCGCGGAGCTGGCAGCTAAGCTGGGCGTGGACCACCAGGCCGTGGTGGGCGCCGTGAAGAGCTTGCAAGCGCTGGGCGAGGTGAGTCGTGCGGGTGATGTCGGGCCTCCTCGCTTTTGCTCCTGAAGGCCCTGTCTGCGGAAGAATCCTTCGGGAGTCCTGCCTGCGCGCTGCAGGCAACAAGTGAGAGCCCAGAAGCACTGACATTGTGCACTCAGTAAATGCCCATTGAGACATGGTAGGCGTTAGGGAGGGCACGATTGTGGAAAAGGAGCCGCGGTCGCTGCCCCTCACGGAGGTTGCCGTCTAATGAGGGAGACGCTCAGGTGACTCTCAGAGCGATGGAGGAAGTACAGGGAACCCAGAGGTGACAACTGGCCCTGGCTTGGGAGTCAAGGAGAATGTCCCCGTGGAGGTGACGGCTGAATCAGGCCTCTCCCCTGAGGAGGAAAGCTCCAGGGATCAATGGCAGGAAATGGGAAATAGATGTAGAAAGGCCTTAGTAGGGGCGCCTGGGTGGCTCAGTGGGTTAAAGCCTCTGCCTTTGCCTCAGGTCATGATCCAAGGGTCCTGGGATCGAGCCCCACATCGGGCTCTCTGCTCAGCGGGGAGCCTGCTTCCTCCTCTCTCTCTGCCTGCCTCTCTGCCTACTTGTGATCTCTGTCTGTCAAATAAATTAAAAAAAAAAAAAAAGGCCTTAGTAGAGCCAAGATTTGCAAGGCCTTGTAGGTCTTCGTCTCTTGGGGGTACTGGAGAACCATGGCAGGAGCTGGAGCCAGTCAGATGTGTGTCCTATCTGCATCTCTTTGAGGAAGGATTGGCAGGGGCAGGACTGGTGGTAAGGGGAGGAAGGCAGAGGCTGGCACATCCCCCAAGCTAGAGGGCATGGTGTCTGGTTTTAGGGAGGCAGGTGGAATGGAGAGAGGATTCAGGAGAGGGAACGAAAGGAGATCCATGGCAAGGCAGGGAGAGCATGGATGAAGCCTAGCCTTTTGACTTGGACAAATAAAAAAAAGTGATAAAGTCATAGGAGGAAGATTCGGAGAGGCCTGTAGGCCACCCAGGAGGCTGGATCCTTGGGGCTACAAATCAGAAAACATAACTGGGCTGCATATTCATCAAGCTCATGTTCTGTGCCCCACTTTGGCCTTGGCTTTATTTATCATCTAGTTCTTGTCATTACCCAAGGATAGTAGTACTGATCTCTCCATTTTGCAGACTGGACACCTGAGCACTGGTCAGTAACTTGATCAGTGTCACTGGAAGGAACAGGCAAACCTGGATTTGAAATTAACCATTCAGGGGGCGCCTGAACGGTTCAGTCGTTAAGCATCTGCCTTCGCCTCAGATCATGATCCCAGGGTCCTGGGATTGAGTCCCAAATCAGGTTCCCTGCTCTGCTGGAGGTCTGCTTCTTCCTCTCCCATTCCCTCTGCTTGTGTTCCCTCTCTCGCTGTGTCTCTCTCTGTCAAACAAATAAAGAAAATTTTTTTTAAAAAGAAGAAAAAATTAAGTGTTCAGGCTCTAGAGCCTGAGGTCATCAGTGCAGAGAGGGCAGGTGTGTGGAGCCTCAGTACCTTGATTGATGTGAAATTGACTTGTGTTGGTCCCAGAAGGTTAAATAGTGGCTGTTTATCGTGTCTCAGTCTAACACAGTGATGGTAACAAAACATTCTAGGTCCTTTCCATAGGTTAATTCAGTAGATGGTGTAGAGCCCATCACACCTTTTTCTTGCTGCTAAGAAAACTAGCTCAGGGAAGTTAAGCAACTTTCCCAAGGTCACACAGGGAGTGAGGAGCAGCACTGGGAATTAGAGTGGAGAGGGAGTTGGGTCCTCTGGGTTCCACCCAGCCTTGCTTCTCTGCGCTGGGTCTGAACCCATCCTCATCACGGAGCCTTGCATTCCTGTGTATAATATGGACCTGGGGGCCTTTTTCTGACACTCTGGGCACTGAGTTGGCCAACATGTTAAATGTGGAGATGAATCAGTTCACCTGGGGATGAACTGGGGCCTTAAAAATCTTTCTGAGATTCAAAAGTAATAGAACTGATTTTCTGGTAGATACCATTCTTAATATTTTACTTTATCCTGAGAGGTGTGAGCCGTCTCTGTCATTATCTTGGTGTCAGAGAAGGAAAACGGAGGTTCAGCAAGGGGTGCTCACTCTGCTGGGATGTGCCGCTCAGATGTGAAACTGTCTTCAGGCACTGTGCAACCCAGGTGCTGTGGTGAGGGTGTGCCTGGCTCTGAACCCTGTCTCTGTGGGTCTTCCCTCTGCCATTTCCCTGCAGGTCATTGAGGCTGAGCTGCGCTCCACCAAGCGCTGGGAGCTTACTGCCGAGGGCGAGGAGATGGCCCGGGAGGGCAGCCATGAGGCCCGGGTGTTTCACAGCATCCCCCAGGAGGGCCTGGCTCAGAGTGAGCTCATGGTAAGGTCCTAAGAGTGAGGCCTAGGGAAGTGATGGGGTGAGGTGGCCCTCGTGCCCCACTCACTGCGGCCTCGCTCCCCCAGCGGCTGTCCAGCGGCAAGGTGGGCTTCAGCAAGGCCATGTCCAACAAGTGGATCCGCGTGGACAAGAGTGCAGCCGACGGGCCCCGGGTGTTCCGAGTGGTGAGTCCCTGCGTGCAGGGGGGCAGACGGGCAAGTGGGCCCCTGACCCTCTCAGTCTCTCACACCCATCATCACGGCAGGTGGACAATGTGGACGATGAGGTGCAGCGGCGGCTCCAGCTGGTCCAGGGCGGGCAGGCTGAGAAGCTGGGTGAGAAGGAGAGGAGTGAGCTCAAGAAGAGGAAGCTGCTGACTGAAGTGTGAGTGGGTGCCCCCTCCCTTCATCCCGTGTCACCTACTTGGTCCTGGGGATTGGGGGTGGGATGGAGTCATCATGCCCAGACTGGGCCACAGTGCTGTCAGTGTCCTCCCAGCTCTGCTTTACCACGTGATTGTCAAGAATTTGTGCCAGGCTCATGCCACCTCAGGGCCTTTGCTTATGCCATGACTTCTGCCGAGAATGGTCTTTCCTTAAGCCAGGCTTGGGCATCAAACCTCTGCCATCCTGACACGCCTGTCTCCCTTTGAGTTCCATAAAACTCCTCACTTCTACTTTCCATACCAGTGCCATGTTTCCTTCCTTTACAGCTCTGATTCCAGTGTCCGGAATTTATTGACTGCCGATCCTAGACAGGCCTAGGGCACTGCTCTCCCAGGGCTGATGTACCCTTTGAGATATCAAGTGGCATAGCAGTTATGGGGACATAAGCCGGGGGAGAGCTGCCCGATCCAGGTCCTGGCTCTGGCACTTACTAGTTGTGTGACCTTGGCCAAGTCACCTGATCTTTCTGGCCCTCAGTTTCCTCTTCTGTAAAATGGCCTCTTTTTCACAAGGTAGTGGGATGATTTCAGTGGAGTCGAACCTGCCAGCACAGAATAAACGCTCAGGAGTTTACCTGTTACTCTTGCTCAGCTGTATGCTCAGTACTTTGAGTAGACCCTGGCACATAGTAGATTCTCATTAAGTATTTGTTGAGTGAGTAAGTGGGCAACAGACAGATGTAGGTGTGGGCTGAGTAAGAGGATCTCGGGTGATGATGAATGTCAAGAGAAAAATAAGGCAGAGTGACTTGGTGGTTGTTGTTGGGGTCAGCATCAGCTGGGACATCTAAGGAAGCCTCCTGAAGGAGGTGACCGTGGCGTCCCCTCCTCCTCTCTGGCCACAGGACCCTGAAGACCTACTGGGTGAGCAAAGGCAGTGCCTTCAGCACCAGCATCTCCAAGCAGGAGACAGAGCTGAGCCCAGAGATGATCTCCAGGTAGGGGGTGACCCCAGCAACTGAGGAAGGTCAGAGAGGGAGGACAGCCCTCACCAGGCCCACGTACCTTGCATGCCCCAACAGTGGCTCCTGGCGGGACCGGCCCTTCAAGCCATACAACTTCTTGGCCCATGGCGTCCTCCCAGACAGTGGCCACTTGCATCCTCTGCTCAAGGTCCGCACGCAGTTCCGGCAGATCTTCCTGGAGATGGGGTGAGCACGGGGTCAGGGGTGGGGCCGGGGGCGGCGTGGCCACTGGGCACAGGCAGGGCAGTCAGGCCGCATCTCCCTCCAGGTTCACAGAGATGCCGACTGACAACTTCATTGAGAGCTCTTTCTGGAACTTTGATGCACTTTTCCAGCCCCAGCAGCACCCGGCACGTGACCAACATGACACCTTTTTCCTCCGAGGTGGGTGGAACTGGCCACGCCATCAGAGGCGCCAGGCCTGGGCAGAACTTTCCGGAGTGGCGTACTCATTTTACAGAATAAACTCCATCCTCGGCGTGGCCAGCTGGGGCGGTGTGAGCTGGTCCCAGTGACCTCTGTGGCTTCCTCCCACATCCCCTCCTGCCCAGTTCATGGCTCCTGCCTGCTCTGCCAGGCATTTCTCTGCTGACAGGTCACATCATAGAGGTGCCACCTTGACATGCGCTGTCCCCCTGAATTCTAAAAGTCCCTCATTTCTAGTCTGCTAAGTTCTCACCATATACCAGTCTCTGTTCTGATTCTCCTGCCAACTGTAGGAGGTAGTAGTGTTTGCTCTCTTTTACAAAGGAGGAACCTGGGGCTTAGGGAAGGAACATCACTTGCCCACAGTCATACAGGTCAAACGTGGTGGAGCTGGGATTTGATCTCAAGCTTTTCGGGTGCACCAAAATCGATGTTTCTGGAAAGGGATCTTAAGAATTCACACATTCGGGCGCCTGGGTGGCTCAGTTGGTTGAGCAACTGCCTTCGGCTCAGGTCATGATCCCGGACTTCCAGGATCGAGTCCCGCATCGGGCTCCCAGCTCCTTGGGGCGTCTGCTTTCCCTCTGACCTTTTTCTCTATCATGCTCTCTCTCACTCATTCTCCCTCAAATAAATAAATAAAATCTTAAAAAAAAAAAAAAAGAATTCAGACATTCACGCAACAAATGTTTGCTAAGCCTCTCCTGTGTGCCAAGGTCTCTGTTAAACATCTGGGTTATAGCTATGAATGAAACATGAAGTTCTTGCCCTGGTGAGACCTGTGTCCTGGTGGGATAGATACTTATTAAATCCTGAGTTGTATGCAAGTTCAGTAATACAAGATGGCAGTAAACACAGTGGAAACTGGCGTGAAAGAGTTGGGGCTGTCAGCTTAAAATTAAGTCTTTGTTTAAGTAAAGGCCAAAGGAGATAAGGGAGAGAACCATATATGGGAAGGAAAGTTCAGGAGGGAAAGGCCTATGCAAAGGTCCTGAGGCTGGAATGTGCCTGGTACACTCACAGATCATCTGGAAGGCCCTGTGACTGGAGGGAGTGAACAACTAGAAAGTGGCAGTGACAGGACAGGGTAGCCAAAGAGAGAGCTGTGTCCCACCTCCCACCCCCACATCCCAGGAGATGGGAGGATTCTGGGCAGAGGTGGGGATGGGACTGACTTGGGTGTTCCTGGCACCCTCTGGCTGCTGTGAGTGGCAAGGATGGGAGCTGCACATGTTGCTGTCTGTCCTCTGTGCAGTGGCTGTTTGAGAAATGCTCCTTGACTGACCAGATGATGCTCTGTCCTGCCCAGATCCAGCTGAGGCCCTGCAGCTCCCAATGGACTACGTCCATCGGGTCAAGCGGACCCACTCTCAGGGTGGCTACGGCTCACAGGGGTGAGACAGGACCAAGACTTCAGGGTGTCGGCGGGGGAAGAAGGTTTGGGGGGTCTGAGTGCCACAATGCAGACTTCCCATTTGTCCTCCTGAAGGTACAAATACACGTGGAAACTGGAGGAGGCCCGGAAAAACCTGCTGCGCACACACACCACATCGGCCAGCGCCCGTGCCCTCTACCGCTTGGCCCAGAAGGTGCAGTTCAGCCTGGGCAGTGGGGGAGGCAGGGGGCTGTCCTGTCAACCTTCTGACCTCCTCCCGGGCCTGGCCTGCCTATCACCCCTAGAAGCCCTTTGCGCCGGCCAAGTACTTCTCCATCGATCGTGTATTCCGAAATGAGACCCTAGACGCCACACACCTAGCCGAGTTCCACCAGATTGAGGGTGTGGTGGCTGACCATGGCCTCACCCTAGGCCACCTCATGGGCGTCCTGCGCGAGTTCTTCAGCAAGCTGGGTAGGCAGGCAGGCAGTGGTGGGCGGTGGCAGTGGAGACATGGGAGGATCCCATGCTGTCAGGCTTACCCCCAGCCCTCTGCTCCCCCGTCTCCCCCACCCAGGTATCACCCAGCTGCGCTTCAAGCCGGCCTACAACCCCTACACAGAGCCCAGCATGGAGGTGTTCAGCTACCATCAAGGTCAGGGGGGAACCTGGTACTGGGGTGGGGAGGGATTTCTCAGGCTGCCCACAGCTCAGCCTGGGTCCCTGTCACTGCCAAGCCCACTGCCAAGATCACTGCCAGAGCCAGCATCATCCACACAACCTGCCTTGTCCTCCTCCCACCCCTGTAGGCCTGAAGAAGTGGGTGGAAGTCGGGAATTCTGGCCTCTTCCGCCCTGAGATGCTGCTGCCCATGGGGCTCCCCGAAAACGTGTCAGTCATTGCTTGGGGCCTCTCCCTGGAGCGGTGAGTGCCTAAACCACTCAGGGTGTCTGGCTGCCACACAGGTGCCTTGCGGGGCCTGGGGGCCTGCAGACTTCAGCCCCATCCATTTGTTATTCATTCGACAAGCCTTTAGTGAGTGTCTGCTGTGTGCTTGGTCCTGTACTAGGAGTAGGACAGCACACATCCCTGCCTCTGCAAAGCTGGGCTCGTAGTGCAGTGAGAAAGGTGGCAGTCAGCAAGATAAATAAGTAAATTGAACAAATAAAGCTCAGAGTGTGTCTGAAGCCAGCAAGTGCTGTCCAGAGAACACAGGGAAGGCTAAGCAGACAGGGTTGTCAGAGAAGGCTCCAAAGAGGAGGTAGTATCCGAGCAAAGACCAGAGGCAGGTGAAAGGGTAAGCTGGGGGCACATCTGGGGAAGGGTGTTCCAGGCAGTGGGAACAGCCAGTGCAAAGACCCAGAGGCAGGAATGTATGTGTTATATTTGGAGAACATTGAGGAGGCCAGTGTAGCCGGAGGGAGGAAGGGGGTAGAGGAGGGTGGGGAAGAGACAGGACGGATGACTCAGGGCCTTGAGAACCTTGGGAACAACATGGGCTTTTAAGGAGGTGGGAACCATCAGAGAGAGCCTGATCAGAGGAGATCATGACCTGATATAGCGTTAAAACTGTTTTCTTACTTTCCTCCCCACCCCAAGCCCAACAATGATCAAATACGGCATCAACAATATCCGGGAGCTGGTGGGCCACAAGGTGAACCTGCAGATGGTGTATGACAGTCCCCTGTGCCGCCTGGATGCTGAACCGGGGCCCCCACGGACACAGGGCGCCGTGTGACATGGGCCACCCTGGATAGCCTGCCTTTCCTTGAGCCCCAGCTGTCCAGCTCCCTAGCATCCCTGCCAGAGACCTCCTTGTATTTATAAGGCCTCTGTGAGGCCATCCACCCCCCACTCCCACCCCTGGTATCTCCTCTTCCGCACCTGCCCCAAGGTCCCAGGGGCAAGGGAGCAGGTAGCAGGTTCGACCTACGAAGGTGGGCCCTAGGGAGCCCTGCAGGCCAGCCATTGGCTAATAAAGTGGGCAGTTGTCCTCATAATGATGCCTTTCCTTAGGGATGGAGGAGTGCTAGACGCCTGGGTATGAGGAGCGGTGGGTTGGGGGCCCTGGATCCTCAGGAGCTCCTGGCTTGCCTGGGCTAGATCCCCTTGGGGAAGACTAACTCCGTCAAGCATTTACTGATCACCTGGTGGTGCCAGGCTCTACCCTAGATGAACAGAAATCCTTCCACCCCTGGGGAAGGGGCATATGAGAGGGGAAGGCCAAGGCAGGTGCCACAATTCCCCCTGGCAGCCAGGCATGGTGAGGTGACGGGGTGGGGGCAGCTTTAAAAAAAAAAAATGTTCTTTTTTTTCACCCCGAAAGCATTTCTTTAAGTTTGCCTCCTCCCCCTTTTTAAAAAAAGAGCAGTTTCTGGTTCACAGCAAAATTACGTGGAAAGTATAGAGATTTCTCATCTACTCTCTTCCCCCACACACGCACAGCCTCCCCACCGTCAACATCCCCACCAGAGCTGTGCCTTTCATCAGGACGAATGAACTCCAGAGACTTCTGACTGCCCCTACTTCATGGTTCGTGCACTTCACGGTGTGTTGTACGTTCTCTGGGTTTGGACAGATGTGATGCTGCGTGTCCATTGTTAGGGTAACACAGTATTTTCAGTGCCCGGAAAGTCCTATGTGTTCCACCCATTCATCCTTCTGTCCTCCCCCTAAAAAGCTACTCTTTTTTAAAAACACGGTCTCCTAAGAATTTCACAGGAGCACCTAGGAAGATGAGTAGGATAGAGCTTCCTGAATCCACACTGAGCCGTGAGTGCGTTCTCGGTTTCTGTGGAAATATTTTAAAGCAAATCTCAAAGTCTCCAGGTTCCTCACCCCGACGTCTTCAGGGTCGGCGCACTTTTGGAAATAGGAACGGTACTTCTGGAACCTTGGGGCCGCCATTACAGCCAGCACAGTTGGCAGTTGAGGCTGTGGGCTTCTCTGGTTCCTGGGTGCGTGTACATACCAATCTCACAGGGGCTACTCGGTCGATTTTTTTTCTTTATTTCAAATTAAATAATTCAGTCATACAGAAAAATACTCATTCGTGCAACAAATGGGCACCTTCTGACTGCCAGCCGTGTCTTGAGCTGAAGACAGCGAAGGGGAGAGCGGACTCAGGTCCCTGCCCTGGGGAGCTGACCTGGGGGAAAGGGTACACTGGAGATATAAACAGATAAATACGGAAATGGAGAGCGGGGTAAAACCACAGAAAAGTGAAGGTGGGTGGGCAAGGTGAAGTGTACAGAGCATAAACCATAAAGCCTAATGCAGCAAGCACTTAGGAGTCCGCCCCCCAGTTGGGTCAAATCTGAGCATGGACTACATTTGTTTTGGGTCTTCTGCATTTTAGATCTGTGACTAATGGTTCGAAGACCCTGTGGGCTCGTCCTAGTTCCTTTTGCCAGCACCTCACTGAGATTGCTCCCTCCTGAATTTGGCGTTTCTCCTTCTCATGTGTTTTTAAAACTTTTGCTACTATACATGTTACTTAAACAAGACAGGTTTGATTTTGCTTATTTTCAGAAGTTAAACAGACCGTGCACCATAAAAAAATCGTCCTGAATATTGTGTGTTGCTTTTCTTTTTTTTTTTTTTTTTAAGATTTTATTTATTTATTTGCCAGAGAGAGAGAGAGAGAGAGCACAGGCAGACAGAATGGCAGGCAGAGGCAGAGGGAGAAGCAGGCTCCCTGATGAGCAAGGAGCCTGATGTGGGACTCGATCCCAGGACTCTGGGATCATGACCTGAGCCGAAGGCAGCTGCTTAACCAACTGAGCCACCCAGGCGTCCCTTGCTTTTCTTTTCAATGAGTGTGTGCACATGCACGTGTTTACCAGTGAATCTTTTGAGATTTTTCTCCTAGATAATCCGCAAATCCTCAAATCTGGTGCTGCAGGAATGTACATTTTGTTTAAGTTGTGGCTTTGCCACAAGATACTAATGTTAGCTGCTGTTTATTAAACTCTTATGTTCCAGAAGTTTATGTCTGCAACCCTTAGAATAGTCCGTTTTAGATTTTATTGCCTCAGTTACAGGCAAAAATGGATTTTGAGAATGAGTGGCAGTTGTATGCCCCGCCCCCCAGCCCCTCTCACTGGTAAGAAACCAGATTCAAACCACATTCTCCATAATGTAGGTGTCAACATGGGTGCCCTAGTCATTGCGTGACCGAGGACAGAGCCCTGCACAGGATTCCTGCTGCCTCTCACACATGGACAGTGACAGGTGTCCTAGAGCTCAGCTCCACTTTACCAGTGAACTGGAGCAAAACCCCAACCCCTTGCTTTGGCCCCGAGCCCAAGCCCTGCCCAATTTTGATCCCTCACTCAGAGCCTCCCCCATTCCCTCTTCTCCCTCCCTGCCAGGCCTAGCTTCTCAAGCACACTGAGTCTGCTCCCACTTCAGGACTTTTGCACACGCCTATTCAAATCTTTTGCCCATTTTTAAGTTGAGTTGTCTTACTATTGAGTTGTAAGAGTTCTTTGTAAATGCTGGCTGTAAGTTCTCAGATCCATGTTTAGCAATATTCTCTCCCAGTCTGTGGCTCCTCAGGTGCCCATCATTATTGTTACTATTAAGGCATTGTTGTTGTTATTACTATTATTAGTAAGGGATATGGGCCCAACTCTAAAGGCCAGACCTGCCATGCTTTTAAGGGGTTTACAGTTTTAGAGCGCACAGGTAACTGATTCAAGGGGATACTGCATAAATACTTCACTGAAGACAACAGGTTTTAATCAAGAACGGCCACGGTCAGGATTTTTTATTGCAAAGACTTCTTGGGGGTCAGCGCAGATGAACTGAAATCTGAGAATTAACATAGAGACTGCTCGATTCCCTCAACCCATGCAGGGCCCGGGATCCTCCCACGTGGGCACACAGACCACCTCCTCCCGGCGGCTCCTGCTGCGCGCGAAGCCTCTGGCACTGCCCAACCGCCGGTTAACGGCCGACTCCGCCCCGCTGCGCCTGCAAGTTCTCAAAAAGAGGCGGGACCAGGAGCACGTGATGCAGCACGTGCGCGGGGGCCTGGCGAGACGGGGGCGGAGCTAGCGCGTGCGCAGAGGGTACGAAGGAGAAGGCGGGAAAAGACGGGATGGAGCGACAGGGAGTAAGCGACGCTTGTTTTCCTTCGCGCGGAGGGTGGGCGAGCGGGCGGACGGGCGGGAACGGCCGCGATCTCGGGCTTCCCTGGCGGACCCGAACCTGGCCGCTTGTCTCCTGGCATCGGGGCCACCCCTCTCCTGGCCGGGTCCGATTTCCTGACTGACTGACCAGGCCCTGACTGACAGACGGGACTGTGTGACCGACACGCTGACAGCCCGGGCCAGAAGGACAGACTCCCACGCATGGCGCGTGGCAGGAGCAGGGTAGAGAAAGGCTCAGATATCCACGTGCCGCACCCCTTTCTTGTCTTCTTTTTCTCCTACCTCTTCTCCTTCCTCGGAGGACTCGAGCCGACGCACACACCAGTTAGGAGCCCAGCGCCCCTCCCGGCGCCCCTGCCCTCACCCCAACCCCTCCAGGTCTCCCCGCCACTGTCCTCCGGCGCTCCAAGCGCAGGGCCCTCCCACCACACGTCCCCGACCTCGTGGTGCCCGTCCCCGCCCCGCGCGCCCCTCCTGGGGGTCCCCGGCCTTTCGCAGCGGCACACGGAGGTGCCCGGGGTCGAAAGGGCGGTAGGAGGAGACCTGACCCCTTCTCGCCCTTACCCCTCTGGCCTCTCAAGCGCTGGCTGTGCTCACAGGTGGACATGCCCCTCGTAGAATGCAAGGACCAGGATCCACAGGATCTCCCCCCGCTGGGGGAGAGCAAGGAGCGGCAGCAGGGCGAGGAGAGCCGCGAAGACGAAGCTGGTCGGGGGTCAGCTAGGTGAGGAAGCACCCTGCCCGACGGGTCCACATAGACCCTTGCGTCCTTCTCATTCACCAAGTTCTTCCCCGAGACCCTGCCAGTGTCTGCTGTGGGTGCAGTTGCTCTGTGTACTGGTCAGACATCTGCCATGTGCGTGGCATGGTTCCAAGTGCCAGGACACAGCAGTGAGCTGGCACTCTGGAGGAGGAGACAAACTAAACTCGGGAATATATAGTCAGGAGATGCTAATGCTGTGGGGAGGGGGTGGGGCAGAATAGGAGAGAGTGCCAGTTTAGATCAGAAGGTTAGGGAAGACTTCCTGGAGGAGGTGACAAATGAACCAGGAGGATAGGCAGAACTATGCTCTAGACAGAGGAACAGCACCTGCAATGTCTGGGAGGAGGACTGTGCTGGAGGAGCCAAAGGGGGTGATAGTAAGAGATAGAGTCAGGCAGGTAATGGGACTTTGGGTGTTAATCACCCATGAAAAGGTCTGGAATAGAGTGACATGGCAAGGGCTGTTGTTAATAAAGTTTTATTGGAATGTAGCCACACTTGTCATGGCTGCTTCTGCAGAGACAGATTTTTGCAACTGAGGCTACAGAACCCACAAAGCTGAAAAGATTTACTATCTGGCCCTTTCTAGAAGTTTGAAGTCCTCTGGACTAAGGTATTAAAAGCCTCTCTCTGGCATCCATGTAGAGAATAGATTGTTGAGGGCAGGAGTAGAAGCTGGGAGACCAATGAGGAGGTGATTGGAATCATCTAGGGGCAAGGTGACTCCAATTTGGCCCATGGTGGGTCTATTGAGGTGATGAGAAGTCAGATTCTGGATATATTTAAGAAGGTAGAATTGACAGAAATTGCTAATGGATTAGTTGTTGGAGCTGAAAGAGCAGCATCAAGGATGACCAAAAAAAGCTTTTGTCTTGTACATTTATCTATTCACCAAATATTTCTTGAGGGTCTGTTTTGGCCAGACACTAATGCAGAGTATGCAGCAGTGAACAAATCACAATTTCTGCTCTCTTGGAGCTTTCTTTCACTTAGCACCTTTCTTTCACCTTCACTTAAGGTTTCTCTATATCTTTTCATGGCTTGATAGCTCATTTCTTTTTAGTGCCGAATAATATTCCAT